TTTTAGTAGAGACGGGGTTTCACCATGTTGACCAGGATGGTCTCGATCTCTTGACCTCGTGATCCACCTGCCTCGGCCTCCCAAAGTGCTGGGATTACAGGCGTGAGCCACCGCGCCCGGCAAGAAAACATCTTTTCCTCTCAGAATCATTTTGCTAGTGATATAAAATGTGATAATTTTTGGTGTGCAAGTTATCTTGTGGCTGGGCATGGCGGCCCATGCCTATAATCCCAACACTTTCGGAGGCCAAGGTGGGCAGATCACCTGAGGTCAGGAATTCGAGACTAGTCTGGCGAACATGGTGAAACCCAGTTATCTTTTAAAAAAAAAAAAAAGTTATTTGGGGCTGGACATGGTAGCTCATGCTTGTAATCCCAGTGCTTTTGGAGGCCAAGGTAGGAGGATCGCTTGAGTCCAGGAGTTGGAGACCAGCCTGGCCAATATGACAAAACCCCATCTCTACAAAATATACAAGAATTAGCCAGGCTTATTGGGATGCACCTGTAGTCCCAGGTACTAGGCAGGCACATGGAGAGGATCACCTGAACCTGGGGAGATGAAAAAAAATTTCTTTAAAAACATTTTTGCTCTTGCATGAGAGTTTGTTGTATTACCTCCCCTTTATTAAAAAATAGAATAAAAGAGATCATTGTTTCTTGATTAAGCTATATGTTATAGAAAGTATAAAAAGCCACCTATGTAATGATTTCATTTTGTGAGTTTATGTTCTCTTCTCTTCCTTATAGAATGGACATGGTGGTGGTCAAAGCCAGCAGACACTAGACAGTAAGTATAGCAGCAAGCTACTCTTGTCATGGCTGGTGCCAACCCAACAGAGGAAGATAGCTCACATGATTGGAAATCACCAGTTGGTCAATGGCTAATTCTTTAAAAAGTAGCCCTTTTACCTTTTTTGTTTTTTGGATCAGGTATTAGCTAGTGGTGGTATTAAAAATGTCATAGCCACAGCAAGAAGGAGGTGATGGTCTCATATTCTTCTGCCCTAATCAGACTGCACCACAGGTGCAGCATACAGTATGCATTTGAAAGATGCCTGGGTCAAGCAGGATGGCTCGTGAACATAATCCCAGTGCTTTGGGAGGCCAAGCCAGGAGGATTACTTGAGACCAGGAATTCAGTACCAGCCTGAATAGTGATACCGTCTCAATAAATTAGTGATAATAAAAAATTAGCTGGTCATGGTGGCACAGACATGTAGTCCTGGCTACTGGGGAGGCTGAGGTAGGAGGGTTACTTGAGCCCAGAGCTACAGTGTGCTACACACCACCGTACTCCACCCTATGTGACAGAGCGAGACCTCTGTATCTTATAAACAAAAAACAGGTCTGGTGCGATGGCTCATGCCTATAATCCCAACACTTGAGGAGTTTGAGACCATCCTATGCAACATGGTGAGCCCTCATCTCTTCAAAAAATTAATTCAAAATAATTAGCTGGGTATGGTAGCTCACGCCTCATGGTTGGAGGTTCGTTGGTTGGTCTGAGCTTGTTAGATGACAGAGGAACTTTTGATTCTAGCAGTGGTAGTGGCACATTTCTTTTGTCTAGGCATGGGTTGAGAACTAAAGTATCTGGGAAGCAGTGTACATTAACCTAGGTTTTTATTTCCTATACTACTCTCTTCTCCCGTACTTCCTTCTCCCCTTCCCTCCACACCCCCTTCTGTTGTTGTTGTTGTTGTTTCTTTGAGAGAGGCTTCCTGTGAAGCTGTTAGCATTGTATTCCAAGGCCCAAGGTGCTACCTTTTGGGGTCTTAGTTTTAGGTGAGATGTATCTGTTCTGTCTTTATATGGTTTCTCTAAGAACAGGGTTTATCTATGGAATAGACTGCCAATAAAAAGAAGGCCTCTGTAAGAATTCACGTAGGTGTCAGTTGACCCTTTTACTGCTTGTGTTTGTTTTTGACCTGCCCTTCCTTTAGAGACTCAAGTGCTTCCCATTTTAGAAGGGTCAGGGTTGCTCCTCTTTCCTAACTGGAAAAGACAATGATGTTTTATTTCCAAGCACATATCTGAGTTGTATGTGTGGACAGCACTGAAACTGAGTCTTTCCACGGCTAGGATTGAGTGTCTCCACGTCCTTTCTGAAGCCTAAGAAGCTCATTTATGTGCTCCGAGATTCATCTATTTAAGCACATACCAAGGAAATGCTCACTGTGCATTTGGAAGTAGGTGTTAGGTGTGTGTTCTTTCTGCAGATGTTAGGTGTCTGTGTTTCTCCACAACATATGCATCAGCCCCCACTTCCTTACATTGGCCGTGAACATTGGTAGAGTCAGCCTGATGTGGCGGAAGCACGTATAGGTGGTGTTGCCTGTCAGCTTATTACTCCTCTTTGCTGTGCCCTTTGAGGAGTTTGCCTCACATTATAATTCTACATGTTAGGGTCAGCACTTGTTTTTCTTTCTGGGTGCATCTACAGCTTAGGTTCCTTTAGGTGGAAAAGTATGTCCCCATATAGGATGGATTGGATTATAACGGTGTCATTTCCTAATCTTTGCTGTGTCTTGAACAGCTGACCGTGGTGTGTCCTTTGGTAGCAGTGTTTGACAGACAAAGGGCTATCTGGTGACATGTTTGGCATTTTCCTGGGGGAATATAACTGACAGGTCATAAGATATTGAGCATATTTTCAGATACTTAGGATTGGTTGTTGAAATTAACAGATCTGTTTCTTACAGCTGCTTCATCCGTTCCAGCTCCAAAGACAGCAGGCCCTCCCTCTGCCCTCCCATCTGGGAGCTCCCTGCCCAGTACCACCTCCTGCGCTGCACTTCTGCCATCCACATCCCAGCACACTGGCAACCTGAGTGGCAGCCCTCTCTCTCAGCTTAGCAGGTATGGGGGAGATGTGGGCCCAGGATGAGAAGTACCTCGGGGCAGAGTCACGGAGCTCCTGTAGAAGGTTGCTCCTGTGAAGACAACACACTCTTGTCTCTGACATGATGGGCTTTTGCATTATGACTCTAGCTTAGGTTTTGGCTAAAACCACCGGATGTGGAAACCTTGCCTGCTTGTACCGCCTCTGCTGGCACAGAGCACTGGGTCCCCTGGGCGTAGGGTGAGGCCACCTGTCTTCACCTTCCAGAGGGTGCCTGAGCCTAGCCTCTCTGGGCATTCTACTGAGGTGGAATGAGAATGATGGATTTCTGAGCAGGTGTCTGACTTTCCATGGCTGAAGAAACGATGTTATTAGAACAAGGTGTAGGAAAATGGGTGACGTTGCTACGTGTGTCTTCTGGGGAGCCTTCTCCTTCATCCCCAATTACCCAGGAGCAAAAGTGGATTTGATGGGAATTTCACCTCTGACTCCAGCATGTGGGATTGAATATAGGAACTTTCATCCCTCATTCACTAATGTAATGGGGATGTCAAGGATGGCCATATTCTTAGCGCAGCTGTTTTCAGTTTTTGCATTTGAGGAGCAAATGGATCTCATTGACAGAAGCATGGCAAGTCCATTATGTTAGGACCCCATCACTGGGTTCTGTGGGGATAAGGAACAAGGATGGGTCTGAAGCTGGGCCTTCACAAGGGACTAGGGACAAATTTGAATCTAGCTAACTGAGCCATGTGGGCCTTGTTCTTTTGGAATCACTTGTTCAGGTGGACATAATGGCACTCTGTTTTATCTTCTAGTTCACTCTCCAGCCACCAGAGCAGCCTCTCCTCTGCGCACACAGTCCTCTCCTCGAGCACGTCACACACAGTAAGTGTCCGTGTGGCTTCCTCCTCATCCGCCATGCTTAGGGAACCTGGGACTTAGACATATGCAGCTGGGGCTTCAGTCTGATTTTTAGCATCTGATAATCTAGAGTTGCTTGACTGAAGTGTCTTGATGGCATGATTAGGTTCAAGCTTCTGATTTTCCTGGGCACCATCTGGGAACATCTTGCTTTCTAAGTTTGTAGCACCTGGGAAGAATCGTTGCTCCAGACCTGATCTGTCATTAGCAGGACTGTCAGGTGGTGACCTGGCTCCCAGGAATTTGCTGTTTGATCTTTCCGTACCTTCTTTCTTGAATCGGAGGCAGAGACTTTGAGAAGGTCAGCGTTGGAGAAAAGGGAGTCTAGAGGGTAGAGGGCAGGAGTGGAAGCAAATGTACACTGGCGAAAAGCCAGGCAGGAGGGCCGGTTTGGGCGCACCAGGTGGGAAGTGTCCTCATATGCCAAAGAATAGCCATAGATTATGGTTATTGAGGTGTGGCTCAGTGGGTTGTGGAGGTGTGAGCATGGTTTTAAGTGGTAGGGATCAGCCAGGTTGTGGTGAGTTGCGGAGTGAATGGTAGTGAGATGGAGAGGAGGAGGCAGATTGTAGAGGGCGCACAATGGAAACTTAGGAGAGGCTGGAGCCTCTATTGGGAGGATAGGCACCTGGATTAACAAGATGTCCATGCTCCTGGACAACAGGAGGCGTTGGGTGAGGTTGGAGTAGGCAGGTCCACAGGCTGGGAGGAAGGATTAGGGTGCAGACAAATGAGAAGGCGGGAAACTGGTAAACTTGGTGTTCTCTGAAGAAGGCTGCAGCTCACCGATAGAGTGAAGCAGTAGAAATGAGACATTCTGTCCTTTGCTCAGGATCTGCCTAATGCTGTGGTTTTCAAACTCTAATGTTCCAAGTCAAATCTTACACAGAATCTTTTGTCATAAAACACAAACTGCCACTTTCAAAATAGAGCACAGAGTGGACACTTCTGCCTGTCCCCCTGCCCTCTGTGGCTCATGGGAGCCGTGAGCTGGCCTCAGCAAGAGCGCCGCGGACCACCCTGTGTATCTGTGCCTCTACTGCCTGGGAGCCTGGTGCTCCTGCACTCCCTGTCTCTGCAAACAAACAAACAAACAAACAAAAAACTAGATCATATATTCCAACCTGCCACAGTCAGAATGGTCTCATCCAGTGGGTCCCATACTTTGTCAACGTGACAGAATTGTGACATTGTTAATACAGTTGCCCCGTCATATATGCAGGGGATTCGTCCCAGAATCCCTGCACACACCAAAATCTACACGTACTCAAGTCCCACAGTGGCCCCTGCAGAACCCACTTACAGGAAAAGTCAGCCTTCCAAATAGGTGTGTTTTCAAATTATGCATGCCTGCATCGGGTTGAAAAAGAAATCTGCCTATTAAGTGGACCCACACATTTCAAACATGTGTTGTTCAGGGGTCAACTGTATGTTTATAATATTTCATCTTAAAAATTATAGAAAGATAGACACTGAAAAGTTTTTCTGTCTCTCATCTACTTGGCTCCACGTTTATATTTTCTCAATCCTTTAGACGATTTTTCTTCTAATAAAAGTAAAAAAACGCAATGCATACACAGTCATTTTCCCATTATCTGCCCTTTTCTTTTTTTCTTGTTACATAAATGAGAGCATTTTATGTACAGTGCCCTTCAACTTTTTTTCCCCACTCAGTAATGTATCTTGATATTTCCATGTTGAAATGTAAGGGTTTTTGGTTTTTTTCTTCACAGATCTGCTTTATGACGTTATTGAAGGTTATTTAGGCAGCCCTTGATTTGGGGTCATTTTCAGTCTTGATGCCATAGAGAATATTGCATTTGATAACCTCCTACATATGTCGTTTCATGTGTATATCTGTATGTAGCAGGTCAGTCCAGGATACGGAACAGCGAGGCATTCGTGATTTTATACACATTTCCAGATTGCCCTGCATAGTGATCCAACCCTGTTTACCTCCCACTGGCAGTGAATGAAATGTCCTGTTACTCCACTGCTTCCTCAAAATGGTGTTATTAAATACTTGTATTTTCTTAATATGTTAGCAGAAAATCTAATTTTTAATTTAATGAGGTTTTATATCCTTTTAAAAAATATATTTGAAAAATTTGATTTCCTTCATGTGAGCTATTTATTTTTATTTTATTTTACTTACTATTTTTTTTTTGAGATGGAATTTTACTCTTTTTGCTGTTACTCCACTGCTTCCTCAAAATGGTGTTATTAAATACTTGTATTTTCTTAATATGTTAGCAGAAAATCTAATTTTTAATTTAATGAGGTTTTATATCCTTTTAAAAAATATATTTGAAAAATTTGATTTCCTTCATGTGAGCTATTTATTTTTATTTTATTTTACTTACTATTTTTTTTTTGAGATGGAATTTTACTCTTTTTGCCCAGGCTGGAATGCAATGGTACAATCTCGGCTAACTGCAACCTCTGCCTCCTGAGTTCAAGTGATTCTCCTGCCTCAGCCTCCCTAGTAGCCAGGATTACAGGCACACGTCACCACGCCCAACTGATTTTTTTTTTTTTTATTTTAATAGAGACAAGGTTTCACCATGTTGACCAGGCTAGTTTTGAACTCCTGACCTCAGGTGATCCACCTGCCTTGGCCTCACAAAGTGTTGGGATTACAGGCATGAGCCACTGTGCCCAGCCTGTATGCCATTTATATTCTTGGTTCCTTTTCCTGTCAGGTCTTTGGTCTCTATTTCTAGAAACTGTATATTAGGGAGCCCACTGTGATGGGAGGTACAGGTATTTTTCCCCTAAGTGTGCTGTTTATTGTTTTTCACATGGACCTATGTCTTTTCCTCCATTTTTCTCATAGTTAGATCTTTACTACTCTCCATCAATACCTTAAGGAAATCTCAGCGTCTTCTCCTGCCTTTGCTTCTCTGGGTCCGTCCTGGCAGTTGACTGCATAGGCCCCATTGGATGGACTAAGTATGGCCTTTAAAGTTGGTGTTGACCTTATAATCCAGCAGGTTGATGTCCTCCCAGTTCTGGAAGATCAGGGCCAGAGACAGGAACCCCGTCAGGCAGCTGAGGGAGAAGAGACCTGCCAGATGACTCTTGTCCTTTTAGCAAGTCAGGACCTAGTTCCTTAGTGAGCATCTCTTAGCAATGGGGAATGTTCATTTTTAATTCGGAGATTAAAAGGTTGTATATATCCAAGTACACTTGCGAGCATCGCTCAGAGCTGTTCAAGATTTCTGTGGCAGATGGTGGGGAGTCTGTCTCCTTAGCAAGGACCTAGATGGCGGGCAGGCCAGTACATCCTTTGCCCTGCTCCTGGTGGGGCGCTCTCCAGCCTGGTCCTGCCCGTCTGTGCTGAAGGAACAAGACCCCAGGAGCCCGAGGAAACCATGTTTTTGGCTGTCTTCACCTTATTGAATCTTTTCTGGGCGTTAGCTCCTTAAAGCCAGTGCCCAGGTGAGTAGTGAGCTGTGGGCATGGGATGGCATGGAGAGTCAGTCTGTGGAGGCAGGGTGGCTCCTTTTCCTGGGGCCTTCCTGTTCTTTGGCTTTTCCTGTAGGAGTTTATATGCTGCTTTCTATTCCCTGGTTTGGAGACTGGTCTCGTTCTTACAGAGCTGATTCCTCCCTTTTATTGGGACACTAGGTACACCACCTAGGTGTACCTCTCCCACCTACCCGCTCAGTGCTTGAAGTTGTCCATAGGGCCCTGTTGCTAGGGTTGGGCAGCTGGTCAGGGCTTCTGAAACGTGGGGCTCCTGCTGGGTTTCACTCTTTCTCCCTAGGATTACCTTGTCAAGCAGGCATAGTGGTAGGCCATGCCCTTTTAGGTGGGCCCTGGTGAAGTGTTGGTGGACTGACTGAAAGGTGTCACCAGGTTTTGGAGCAAAGGCCTTTCTCAGCCTCCTGTGGTTTCCAGACCACAGTGGCTGACAATTCCGGTAGAAGGGAATGTCCAAAAGATTGAGACTTGCGCTGGGCTTCGTGTAGCCTCTGCTTGCCTCTTCTCGGACTGTTTGCTTTGCTTAGAGGTAGGTACTCGTCCCATATTCAGGTAGTCTGTGTTCATTTAAGATCTGAAGTTATCTTGGGGTTTCTGTGCCCTTCATTTTGGATGCCAAAGCATGACCAAACTTAAAGGATTTTTAAAGAGAGTTGTGGTCATTAGAGCTCAATGTTAATAGTCTTGATGTTCTGTTTACGTGTTGTATCCCGATGGCTGGAACCAGCTGTGAGAGGCCGCAGTGAGCACTGAGCACAGAGCCTCTCACCTTAAGGGTGCCTGGGTGGCTCTGTCATCACCTGCCTATTCAGCCTTGAGACTGTGGGCCCAAGTGCCAGGCCAGGATCTCCCAGCACCCTCCTCCGCCTCCAGATCCATGTGCCCTGGCTTTTCTTTTGCTAGCATGCCAGTGTGGAGAACGCTCCTTCCCTCCAGTCCTCAGCCACCTTCTCCACGGCAGCGACCTCCACCTCGAGTTCCGCATCCTCAGGCACTAGCCTGTCCAGTAGCATGCACACGGCGAACAGCCTCTGCCTGGGTGGGACCCCCACGAGTGCGTCCAGCAGCAGTACCAGGGCCGTGCCTTTGGTGACCTCAGGTATGTGCTCCAGAGGCCTTTCCTGCCCACCCCTGAGCCCCTCAAAGGTACCTGCTTGGCTTCCGAGGAAGGCAGTGCAGGCATCAGGAGAGTCTGAGAGGCAGGCCCACCAGGTGTGCTGTGTGTTCCATTGACCTTGAGGCCTGATCTCCCCATCCCTGATGCAGATGGATTCTTCTTGGCAGCATTCCTGGCCACTATGTCTTCTAGCTTTCCAGTCTTTCCTCTGTTCATCAGTTGACATTGTGACTTTGAGGGGTCAGGGATGACTTATTGTGGGCTCCTCCGGGCCAGTCTTTGTGGCTGACTGCAGACCTAGGGTGTCTGTAGGCCCAGTAGACTGTGATTTGATGGTCGCTGCTAAAACCCACTTTGAACTCAGTCTGTCCCTCTTCTGGCATTGCATGGAGGAGTGCCTTGCCCTCTTTGGAGGAGGCAGATTGCTTTTTGTGTCTGTTTTCTCAGTGCAGTGGGACCTTAGGGATTGGGGGAAAGGGGCTGCTATTGTCTGGGCCCAGAACCCTCTGATGTTGAAACAGCCTCAGTGTGGTGGCCGGGCTTTGTCTCCCCTTCACTGCTTCATAGCGTGACCCTCTGCTTCATTTGGCCACTGCCCTTCTTTGGACTCATCTCGGGTAGCTCAGTGACTGTGCCTTCTCCTGAAGCAGCTGAGGACTCTCACTCTTTGTGGTGACCACTTCCCTCCATTTGATTGTTTTCCCACTGTACAGGCAAAGCACCCCCAAACTTGCCCCAAGGGGTGCCTCCCCTGCTGCACAACCAGTACCTCGTGGGTCCCGGAGGACTGCTTCCTGCCTACCCGGTGAGTGCATGGTGGGACTTCTGGCCTGCCCCAGCTCCCCTGGCCTCAGGGGCTGGTACCTGGTGGGAGCCTGGTGTGGGGCCCGGGTTGCCCACTTTGAGCTGCCCTTCCATCCCTGAGCCCCCTATCTCTGCCTCTCTGAGCCCTGGTGGTCTTCCATCTAGATTCCGTCAAGGCAGGCTCTGTTGCCATAGCTGATCCAGATCCCTTTCCCGGGTGTGTTATGCCTCCCAACCTTGTTTTGATTCCTAGATTGACCTGCCTCCCAGGAGTGATATGTGGTTCCTAAAATACCCTTTCTGGTTCTCACACAGATCTATGGCTATGACGAGCTCCAGATGCTGCAGTCACGGCTGCCAGTGGTGAGTGGGGTGTGAACTGGTCAGAGCAGAGGGTTCAGAATCTTGTACATATCCCTCCTCTTGTGGTCTTGGCTGGCACCCTGTCTGGCCCTTAGGATCCTCTGCCTGAGGAACCCCTCAGCACCACTACTGAGAATGCTGTTTTCATCTGGCATTTGTGCCAGGCATAGCCTTGGCACATGAGTGTACAGTGCTCATCCCTGGGAAACATGAAGGCCTTCAGGACCTGGGGTCCTGGTAGGCCATGTCCCCTGCTAAATGTTGGTCCTGACCTTATCTTCCCTCCTCGATCTTATTTTCTCTCCCTCCCTCTCTATCTCTCTCTCTCTCTCTCTCTCTGTCTCTTTTTTTAAGAAAAGTCATATGATAAAAGACATGGAGGTTGTTTAGTTGGCCCTGGAGTTTTATACTGTTTTTCTCTTCCTCATAGTACCGTTTGGTGTCTTTGGTCTGAGGTGGCCAGTGACTGCTCTCCTGCCGCCAGCTGAATGAGTGGCTTGAGCTAATGGTCTTTTAAAAAGGTTTTTTCTGGGTCTGGCCTCCAAATTAGATTTGTGAGAATGCCTGCCCGGGGACGTCCCTGGTGGTTGCAGCCTTACTCGGAGGCCAGGGTTGTCTCTTTATTCTAACCATTGGTGCTAGAATGTGATGTGGGCCTTTCCTGGATAGCCACATGAACAGAAATGTGAGGACAGAGGGAAACAGGCACGCTCCTTGCCTTGCTTGTGGGCAGGACTTTAGCCTGGGAGCCACTATCTTCTTGCTCTGCCATTTCCCAGGGCACTTGTCAGAGTTGCAAGCAGTTGGGACAGCCAGGTTCACCTGTGCTGGATAGTCTTTCCTGTTCCTAAAGGAAGAGGTTTTCTCTCTTGTGTGGCTCCGCCTTCTCATTCTCTTCCCTGTTGGTGTTGCCCCTTCCCTGCCGGACCACAAAGAGTTGACAATGCTGCTCTTGTTTCAGAAGATTAGCCCTTTCCACCTGCTGGCTGTATTTCCAGAAGCAGAGGCCCAGCCTGGGAGCTGAGCAGCTTCTCCCAGCTGTGCAAACCAGTTGCGCCTTCAATCTGTGGTGGACCAAAGGCCCACAGTACGGGAGTGCTGAGCCCCGGGATTCATCTGCTTCAGGGGCTCTCCGTGGTCTCCATACTTATTCACAGCACTCCTTTGGCTTTTCTCACTTAGTGCCTTAGAGAAAACACCCTCTGGAGCCCACCTTTTGAGATATGTTGCTCTGGGTATTTTTTGTTTTTGTTTTGTTTTGTTTTTGTTTTTGTTTTTTGGAGACAGAGTCTTGCTCTGTCGCCAGGCGCCAGTCTGGAGTGCAGTGGCGTGTTCTCGCCTCACTGCAACCTCCGCCTCCCGGGTTCAAGCCAATTCTGCCTCAGCCTCCCGGGTAGCTGGCACTACAGGTGCACACCAGCACGCCCAACTAATTTTTGTATTTTTAGTAGAGACGGGGTTTCACCATGGGCCAGGATGGTCTCGATCTCTTGACCTCATGATCTGCCCATCTCGGCCTCCCAAAGTGCTGGGATTACAGGTCTGAGCCACCGCACCCCGCTGATATGTTGCTCTTTCTATCCCTCGGGTTGTTTGTTAACCTCTGCTGCTTGTGAGCCTAGTTCCAGCATGGAGATTTCTCATGGTCTGTGAAAGGGCTCCCTCTTCTGGGCTTTCTCCTGTGCCTTCCCAACTCTGGTTCTAGGCTGCTGTGGGTTTCCGGGGGGTTTTCTGGAGGGTGTGAGTGCCATTCCAGCCCGGACGGCTCTTCTCTGGCTGTGATCGGGCACAACCCAAGGGCTTTCCCTTTCCTCAGGGGCCAGATGTGTCCAGGAGTGTGAGGCCCTGGATGGTGAGGGTCAGGTCAGGCCTCCCCTCCTCCACACAGCTCCACGTGTTTTGCCATCTCTGTCTCCGCACTGTGTTGTATCTGCCATACTTCCCTCAAGTCCTAGGTCAGGAGTGTATGTCTAATTTTTTGCTTCCCTGGGCCATATTGGAAGTAGAATTGTCTTGGGCCACACACAAAATACAAGAACACTAACTATAACTGATGAACTTAAAAAAAAAATTGCAAACACATTTCATAATGTTTTAAGAAAGTTTATGAATTTGTGTTGGGCCGGATTCAAAGCCATCACAGGCTGCGGGTTAGACAAGCTTGTCCCAGGCCATGTCAGTGTTTTGACGGCAGAGTAGGTGGTGACAGACCAGTTCCGGGCTTCACCTGGGGTCCTGCTTATTCCTGTGCCTACCTGGCACTGCCTCCCATCTCCTCTGAAACCTTTCAGGCCCCTGCACTTCTGTTGCCTCCTTTTTTGGGTCTGCTCTGTTTAGTCAGCTTTCCTAGCTGCTCTGTAGTCTCTCACACAGAAAAGCCAGCGAGGTTGGTTCAGCCCGAAGCACTCACACAAGCATCTGCCTGTGGTGTCACATGGATGTGTGAAACTTGGTCTCCAGGGCTCTGCCTGGTGAAACTGCAGGGTTGGCCAGTCTGTGTGCTCATGCGTTAGGCAGGCCACCTACTTGCCTACGGGCACCATTTACTTGCCGTTCCCTGGGACTGCTGGCTTTCAGTTGTGCAGTCCATTTCAGGAGTGTGGTGTCACCTAGACTTTTGTGTGCTGGTTCTGCTCTCCTGGGAGTTGGGCAAGGCCAGTTGCTGATCAGGCCTCCCTGGTCTTTCCTAGGACTACTACGGAATTCCCTTTGCCGCACCCACAGCACTTGCTAGCCGAGATGGGAGCCTAGCTAATAATCCATATCCAGGTGAGTTTGCTCAGTGGATGAGGAGTGCGCTGGCCTAGCGTGAACTCCAGGAGCTGGGAAGCAGCGGCAGCAGCAGGGCTGAGAGAGGCCTCTTGGTGGCCTGTGCTGAGCTGGCAGCCAGACCTGTTCCTGTTTGCAGGAGCCAGCCTGGCCTGTCTCTGGTTGGAGGAAGGGCAGTGGCTGGAGTCAGTGCTCTCTCCTAGGTGATGTCACAAAGTTTGGCCGTGGGGACTCTGCATCCCCTGCACCCCCTACCACACCAGCTCAGCCACAGCAGAGCCAATCACAGACCCACCACACAGCCCAACAGCCCTTCCTGAACCCTGCGCTACCACCTGGCTATAGCTACACTGGCCTTCCCTACTACACAGGCGTGCCCAGTGCCTTCCAATATGGCCCCACCATGTTTGTGAGTATTTCAGCAGGTGTGACTGTGTATCCTGGCTTTGGGTTGCTGGCAGGTGGAAACCTGGGACCTGTCTTCCATCAGGGAGGGAGGGTCATGATTCCACTCAGTCTTATCTGGCCTTCAGGACGTGTTCATGCTGGTAACAAGGTCACTTTCCTCTGCTGTGTTTAGATCCGGCATGTGTTGCACTAATGAAAACACAGGTCCCCTGTGGTTGTGGGTATGTCACGTGCTGCCTTAGGCTCTGGCAGGGATGTTCCTACACTAATACCTCATCTGCTTGCCCTCCCAGGTCCCTCCAGCCTCAGCCAAGCAGCATGGGGTGAACCTCAGTGCCCCAACACCTCCTTTCCAGCAGGCCAGTGGTTATGGCCAGCATGGCTACAGTACAGGTGAGGGGTGCTTCCCAGACAGACAGACACGGGGTCAGACAGGCTTGCCTGGCTCACACATTCCTCTTGTACCCTGCCACTCTAGGTTATGATGACTTGACCCAAGGGACAGCAGCAGGAGACTACACCAAAGGTGGCTATGGTGGACCATCACAGGCACCAAACAAGTCTGCAGGTTCTGGACCTGGCAAAGGTAGTGTTTACCTCTTCTTTCCAGGATAAGGCCTGGAGTGGCGGGCTCCTGCCTGATCCCTTCTCAGGCAGGGCAACCCCCAAGTGCCCCTGGAGGTGAGGGAGCCTAGAGCTGGGACCAACTGCTGTGGGGAACAACTGCTTTTCCTCCTAGGAGTATCGGTGTCTTCAAGCACCACTGGTCTACCTGATATGACTGGTTCTGTCTACAATAAGACCCAGGTGAGGGACAAAGGTGGGTTGGGTGTATAGGTTTTGGGGAGTTTACAGCCCAACCTGACCTTCATTATTGTCTTTTTTGCCCTGCAGACTTTTGACAAGCAGGGATTTCATGCAGGAACCCCTCCACCTTTCAGCCTGCCCTCCGCCTTGGGTTCCACTGGGCCCCTGGCCCCTGGAGCGGCCCCTGGCTATGCGCCCCCACCATTCCTGCACATCTTACCAGCCCACCAGCAGCCCCACTCACAGCTGCTGCACCATCATCTTCCGCAGGATGCGCAGGTGAGCACAGTGATGGAGGCAGCCACCCTGCTCTTGGCCAGGGGTTCTGTTCCAGCCTTGACAGCCTTCCCTTCTCTTCCTCAGAGTGGCTCGGGTCAGCGCAGCCAGCCCAGTTCCCTGCAGCCCAAGTCTCAAGCCTCCAAACCCGCCTACGGCAACTCTCCATACTGGACAAACTAAACCCGAAGAGAGGGGTGGGTTGGGGCAAGGCTTACCCTGGGCAGGAGAGAACACATGAGCACATATATAGGAGCCCAGTGCCCTTTCCTAGAATTCCCAAGACTAACTGTGTCAGCCGTGCCTCTGTGGGGAGCCTGCCTCCCAGACTGGCTATTGTATGTAATGTATTTATGTATGTATTTGTAAATGTGATAGAAGTCTAGGGGAGTGGAGGGGATGGCTGCAGATGTTAGCCAGGTCTGCTCTCCCCATTCAAGCCCCTTTTCTGCTGTAGCAAAATAAGCCTCTCCACCCCATCTGCCTTCAGGCCTTCTTCATAGCTGCTGCTGCCCAGTGGGCCATTAGGGGCAGTCTCTGGAAGGCTGGTTCAAGGCCATTTGGGTATAGGGGTCAGGTACCAATGAAGAATCACGACTTGTCTCACTCCTTTGGAAACTATTATTTTAGTTTTCTTTCCTGTGTAATTCATACCCCTATTTCTGAGAAACTGTTCCTTTTGTCATCTGTCATGGTCCCCTTCCACCAAATCTTGGGAATAGTAGCGATATCCCTCCACCCAACACAAATATGGGCACCTGTTTTTCTTCATATATAACAGGGGCTTCTGGTCTGGTCATATCCCTAGAGACTTACTAGAGACTGGCTGACCATTTAAAAAATAATAATCATCTGAGTTGTTCAGCCATTCAGCTCCCCTTTAAAAATCAAAGATATCTCCAAGCAACACATCTCTCTTCCAGTGTCTTGAACCAGGTGGGCAGCTGTTTCAGGGGTTTTCTCTTGCCCAATCCCCACCTAATAAAGTTCTGAGAGCATGCACGGTCTCTGTGTGGTGTGACTGAAGGGAAGCTCAGGGCAGAGGCCTTGGACTTCACAGGGCTAAAGGACACATGGTCACAGTCTTCTGACTTAGGCTATAAAGGCTTGAATTGGTTTTCCTTTTTACTGGACCCTCTTGGCCCAAATGACAATGACTGTAAGGACAGGTAAACCTCACAGGGCCCAGGCCATGTTGATCAAACTTAACCTGGCTTTTTAAAAAAATCTCCTTAAGAGACTTAGGGATAGGGCAGTATCCCACAGAACCCTGTCAAGAGGAACACCAGGGCAGGGTAATTTCTTTTCCAAACGTCAGGGGACTTTTACAATCTGAAGCAAAGCCAAGAATGGAGAGCAAGGTTCTAGACCCTAAGGAAGAGTAAGTATGAACTGGTATACCTGTCTTTTGCTCTTCATCAACTGAACATAATCACCTTGACTGGCAGTCAAAAGCTGTGGTAGAACATGTGACTAGTGAGTTTTGGGGTGTCATGAGGTAGGCTGGTGGATCCCGGGCTACATATCTGCTCCAGAAAGGCCCAACCAACCATTCACCTTGGGTCAGGCCAGAACCAGGGAGTAGCCAAGGGCCATAGGAGAGAGGCAGTTCTCCACTTGGCCATCCACAACTGTGCTTCAACCAGGCAGGCAGCTCAGGGTCTGGAAGTGTGCCCAAAGTGCTATTGCCTCTCTTTTCAGTCCTAAATCACTGCTTCAGACCAGGTTAAATAAGGAAATAAAATGGCTAGTTAGGTCATTTTGTCAGAACCAGACTAGGGTCAAAATCTACTTTTTCTTCGTTTGGCCTCTACAATTGAGAAGCAATGGTCCTGTTGTGATGGGACCAATACTCCTATTAACCCACAGCTTAGGATCTTAACTAGAAAAAAGGCAAGTGTCTACAACTAAAATTAGTCAAGACTTTTATTAAACAAGGTGATCCACCTGATCCTTGCTATTAGCAGCAGGAAATTAGGAAAACAGATGACAGTGAAAATGTTTGCCTAAGGAAAGCAGCAGAGCGTCCCTCAGTCCCTCACTGACCTACTCCTATTGACTCCTGTTTTCAGAATCAAGTTTAATAAATGGCCATGTCTGTAAGGAGCTTGAAAGGATTGGGGATACACCAGGGAGGTGAGTTAGAAAGGCAGATCCCCCACTTTTGGTTTTTGTCTAATTTTTCAGCTGGGCCTTGGCATAATCTGCAAGGTTAACAGTGAGACCACCTTTTCGTTTTCTTTAACACAAGGTAAAAAAAGAAGAGGGTCATCTCATGGGGAAGTAGCAATACAGGTATTTTATTTCACATTTTATTAGTAGACATGGGCAGAAAAAGACAAAATAAACCACTAAAGGGGACGTCAACACAAAATGCATCAGATAATCTTTTCTCATAAGTTAAACTGAAGAAAAACATCTACAATTTCAGCTAAAACTATTAAAGTCAGGTGTGTCCTGCTGGTTTCAGAATAGTTGAAAATTGCATCTCTGAATCCTTTTAGTTGTAAATGTAAACCTTGTTTATCAGGATGGGAGGGGTGGAGAGCTGCACATTTCCCCTTCCAATCAGTCTCTTCACTATATGTGCCCCAAACGTTAAGGAAACCAGCAAGTAAGAAACAAATTGCCAGGGCAAGGGAAAGAAGGTTCTACAAAAAAGTTTGACTAATAGAAAAGCACTCTGGAATGATAAGGAGAAGAGGGGAAGACTGAAACAGCAACAAGATACACGTTCTCCACCCAGCCTCAAAATACACAGAACTGAAGAGCATCCAGTGAGGCCTCAATTAGAATTAAAAGGAATCTAAAAATGCAGGATTTTGAGTTTATGTCACACCAAATAGTAAGTACAACTGTATGCACATGGTTCTGGGTTGAGCCTGAGACCTTAACAACTCCCAAAAAGAAAAAAAATTACAAACTCAAGTGTTTTTCCACAGGATGTGTTCTCAGGGACAGAGCTCTGGAACTCGCCTCTGGGTTCAGTCAGTCTAAAATATCTGAATGTCCACCTACTATCAGGAGACTTACCCGGTCTTCTGGAACTGATTGTACTCATCAGAGGCAAACCCAGCCCTTGATAGTAACACCCCAAAGGGCTGAGAGGTATAACCTCCACTTGGCGCTCTGGCTCCCTGAGTCAATGTGTAACAGAGGCCAATAGGGCCTGATGGAACAGAGCTGTGCAGCAGAGCACCTCCCACAATGCCAGGGTGCCGGGCCTGCCCTGCGAGTGAGATGCTTTAGCAGTAAGGGGAATGAAAGGCTTAATTTTAGGGCTCCAAGAGAGCAAGACCACGCTACTGGCTGTAAACTTGCATGGAGGTCTTGGGGGCAGTTTCAGGGAGACAAATCAGAGCACTGTGAGAGGCTTTGGATCCAGAAGATATGCAGGTTAGCTTGGAAGCGTTACTTAAGAAGTATGGGGAGTAAAAAGGTAGTTCCAACATCTGTCAGAGGTTGTTATCAGGCAACTTGACAACATTACAAAGCTGCTCTGTTCCATGGATCTGACTAGAATCACCAGATTCTGGGCACAGGTAGCAGCCCTGGCCCTATGAAGATCACAGATTCTGGAACCAGGCTCAGTGACCCGTAAGAGTCTCTGCATGTTAAAGATTCCTTTTTCATACCAGACCAAACTTCAGAGGTCAGGAAGGGCTGATGGGAAGAAGTCATGTGTTTGGAAGTTTGAAGAGTGAAAACCCTGAGATCAGAACGGAAGGAGGAGCTAAGGAAGTAAGCGTCACCTACTCTAGCCATCCTAAGATTCCCTCCTGCCCCGTCCCTAATCTGCCTTTTGGTTCTGAGTTGCAAGCCGAAGGAGGAGTTGACACTAGTGCCCAGGGGTCTGAAGTAGGACTACAGTCAGTCCTTGCTACATTTTCCTTCTGAAATCTGATTTTACATTATAGCGGTTTCCTCCAAAGAATAATGCCCTCCTATGATCTGGCGCACCCCCATAACAACCAAAAATCACCTTCAAGTTCTGAAGTCCCTCGATGGTGAAGGCTGCTGGATCTCAATATTGATTGAAGCAACACGACTGAGATCTGGAAAATCAAAGCTGCAGCGAGTGCATCACAGGAATATCTAGCCTTACCTGGCCTAAAAACTGCATTCAACTCCCTCAGCCACAAGACACGATCCCAAGGGGAGCTCTATGCACAAGTTCTGCTTGTGCTCCACAGCCCAAGTATGTTGAAAGGAGAAAAAAGTCCAGCTCGCATCCAATGAAGACAGCGGGAACTAGCAACTTGTCTCACACACATCCATGTTTTTCACTACCAATCAGTATAAGCAGCTCGATGAAAACCGAAATCTTAACACATGCACCTAGGATTAATACTGAGTAATTAAAAGTGGCTCCTTAAAAAACAAGAAACAAAACGACATGGTAAGAGTGTATTTCTGATGGGAAGGCCATGCTAAATATAAAACAAACAGATGTTTCCTCCCAATGGTGGCCACCAGTAGCATCAACCAAACAGCATAGTGATTTTTAAATCTTTGTTCCCATCACTAAGTCCATCCCCACACACTCATCCCAACTTCCCAACTTGCCCCACTCCCTGGGGGGAAAAGTAACAACCCTGCAATAAATAGCAACCAAGTGCTCAGTTCTATGTAAAGTATGAATATTTATTTCAGGCTTTCCATCCCAATCGATTTCAAAAAACAAAGTCTGATTTCTCTCCTCAGAGTAGCTGAGGCCTCCATGTTTTAGGATTTCATGGAGACTGGAGGAGCACATTTCATCAGGCTTAGCACAAAGTCCCTGACACCCACCATATCCCAGCCTTAGGAAGGGAAAGAAACAAAACTCACCACCATGGGGCTGAACGAATGCGCACACACTTAATGTAAATGAGCAGCTAAACCTTGGCAAATTTGCTTTTTTCTTTAAGTTTGTTTTGTGGGTTTTTTTTCCATTTTCTTTTGCTACCCAGTATATGCAGCACTTGTGAACTCCCAACAGGTTCCCAGCTTTAAACACATTAAACATCTTGAAAGACTATTTAATTCTTCAAGAATCTAAAAACAGACCAAACGTGTTTTGCTGTGAACATTCTGTAGAGACGAAGTGAGGCGGGAGTTTGGGTTGATGTTTTTTAAAAAAAAGAATCAATACAGTGATGATGGAAGGGTAAAGAATGCAAGAATTCAGACATTCTGTGGAGGGTTACTCTCTCTCCATTAAAGGTCCATAAAAAGGAGCAAACCGAGATCCATAAGGGGAGTCAGCAGGAGCTGTGTGTTTGTTTCCCCACCCGCTGTGAATAGGTTTTTGCTGAGGGGCCATGGCCAGGTCCCCATTTGCTCCCCTCCCTTTGGCCTGAGACGGCAGGGCAGTACAGGGACACTGAAGGAGCACGTCACGACTCCTCATTCCCAGAATCATCATCATCATAACAGTCGGCATCTTCCTCCTCCTCATCTTCATCATCAATGTCATCATCATACAAGTCGTCGTAAAGCAAATCTGAGCTGTTGTCATTGGAAGGCACTTTAGTTTTGATGCAGTATTCCGCCAGGGTTGTGGGGACCTTCACTCCATCCTTTTCTGCTTCAGCCTTAGTGGCTGAAACTTGTTTCCTGGAGGGAGGGTGACAAATGGTTTATGGTAAGTCACTGTTTTGAGACAGATTTATAATTGGCCTTAAATAATCATTATTTATGACTCAGATATCCAAACTTCAGTACCTGCCTGAAAGCATCTGACAGATACTCTGTACTATGTAAACTTTGACCTTTTAGGGGGAAAATACACTGTTATGTCAAGGGAGTTTAAAGCAATGGATCAGTTATAGCCAGAATCACCTCTGAGTTGCCTCACCACCAAACTCATTACGTGCCCCCAACAATTCTATTCACTTAATAGTAAAATGCAAATACCTTATGTCAGATTCCAAAGTCTTGCACGACCCACTCTTTTATTCTTTCTTTCTTTGAGTCAGAGTCTTGCTCTGTCACCCACGCTGGAGTGCAGTGGCGCAATCTTGGCTCACTGCAACCTCCACCTCCCAGGATCAAACAATTCCCCTGCCTCAGCCTCCCAAGTAGCTGGAACTACAGGCGCGTACCACCACGCCCAGCTAATTTCTGTACTTTCGGTAGAGATGGGATTACATCATGTTGGCCAGGCTGGTCTCAAAACTCCTGATCTACCTGCCTCGGCCTCTCAAAGTGCTGGGATTATAGGCCGAGCCACTGAGCCCAGCCGCACAACCCACTCTTGTATTTTCTCCCAGCCCATCACTTTCTCCAACTTCAACACATTCACCCTGGTCTTTTTTTTTTTTTTTTTTTTTAAACAGTGTTAGGTATAACACCCTGGTCTTTTTTGGTATCTCAGACACACCTCGTTGATCTTTCTGTCTGTACCACTTGCTGTGCCCCAGTTCCACACATGCCTGGCTCCTCCTTGTCACTCAGAAAGCAATGCCTCGGATGTTAAGGCTTACAAATCACCTTAGAGAAGGCCTGGCCAGACAACCCAATTTAAAGAACCATCTAGTCACTCTTTCACATTATCCTACTTAGCACTATCTAGTATTTTTTGTTTGCTCATTCTTCTGTCTCCCCATTTTCTAATGTGCACATCAATGTCTGTCTTAGTCTATTTCCCCGGTGCCTAGCACATAGGTGCATAAGAGGTGTGCAGTCAATTCTATGAGTGAACAGAGCAATACATTGTTTCCTTCAACAATTAGAAAAATATGAGTCAAGACTTGACCACTCTTCTTGATCTTCCTAATGTCAATCTCTTTTGGTTGTACTTAAAGCTCTTCTTCTGTTGCCTTGCCTTGCACATGGATGGTCCTGAGGTTTCTGGGCTTGAATCTCCACACTCAGCATTTTCCCTGGGACATCAATCATCTTTGTTCCCATAATTTTAGCCACTACTCATTTTATGCTGACAGCTCTTGGCTTATATAAACAAATGCCTTTTGGAAGCTTCTGTCCTGATGTTCCATATGCAGAGGTAGACCACATATGCATTTCCTACCTCTATGGCCAGTTTCTCCCATTTTACCTCTCTGAATAAACATCACTTCTTAAAATAATAAATCTTACTCCAAAGACCTATTGTTTTACAGCTTTTTTTTTAATCTTTTTTTTTTTAATTTTTATTTATTTATTTATTTATTTATTTGAGATAGAGGAGTCTCACTTTGTCGCCCAGGCTAGAGTACAGTGATCTCTGCTCACTGTAACCTCTGCTGCCCAGGTTCAGGCAATTCTCCTGCCTCAGCCTCCTGAATAGCTGGCATTACAGGCACCTGCCACCACAACTCGCTAATTTTTGTAGTTTTAGTAGAGATGGGATTTTACCATCTTGGCCAGGCTGGTCTTGAACTCTCGACCTCATCAGCCACTGCACATGGCCACAGCTTAAATATATTTTTTAATCTGTTGTCTCACCCCTACTATTACTGCCTCAGTTTAGTCCATGTTGGTCCCCTCGTCAACTGATTTTTCTTTTTGAGACAGCGTCTCCCACTGTCACCCAGGCTGGAATAGAGCAATGCGATCTCCGCTCAACCTCTGGCTCCAGGGCTCAAGCAATCCTCCCACCTCAGCCTCCCAAGTAGATGGGATTACAGGCATGAGTCGCCACACCCGACTAATTTTTTTTGTAGAGATAGGATTTCGCCATGTTGCCCAGGCTGATCTTGAACTCCTGAGCTCAAGTGATCCACCTGCCTCAGCCTCCCAAAGTGGTGAGATTACAGGTGTGAGCCACAGTGCCCAGCCAATGGTACCTTTTTTTTTTGGAGACAGAGTCCTGCTCTGTTGCCCAGGCTGGAGTGCAGTGGCATGATCTCAGCTCACTACAACCTCTGCCTCCCAGGTTCCAGCAATTCTCCTGCCTCAGCCTCCTGAGTAGCTGGGACTACAGGTGTGCACCACTACACCCAACTACATTTTGTATTTGAAGTAGGACAGCTTGAGCCCTGGAGCCAGAGGTTGCAGTGAGTAGAGATCGCATCATTGTACTCCAGCCTGGGTGAAAGTGGGAGATCGTCTCAAAAAAATACGCAAGCATTTGTAATTGACTTGACATGCCTGTCATGCTATTATAATCCTGTATTGTAGCAAACATGGGTGTTTTCCTTCCCTTTTTTCACCTGAAAAATTATTGGTTATGAGGAATTATCTCTGCTAGGAAGTTATTACATTATATATTTCTCCGAATGTTTCTTTGTTTAGGCTTCTATAGGTATAATTATACATGGTCGTTTGTTTTTAAATGCTAATAAAGTGAGCTCCCTAAGGATACATGCTATGTCTCAATGCGTACCTGACACAAAGTTGTTGCTGAGTGTCAGGTACTGTGCTAGGTAATTAAGGCATAGACAGAATGAGATAAAGGGACCCTTAAATTAAGAAATATATAGAAGTACCTTAAGAATATGTATACATAAGCTTTCTGATCCTTCAATCCTTAGTACAATCCTACGCCTCTAGATTTCTGTATGACCTTACTATTTATACTAATTATCTTCAATTTTTGGTATGTATCAGTCACCTAGGTGAGATATATATATATACACACACAGATGCTCAAACTCTGTCCTTGTAATCCCATAAAAAACAGCTATCATTTAGGGTCAGTCTAAAGGTGATCCTAATGGGCAGAAAACTTAGAACTGCTGATTTTATTACTCAGCAGTCACCTCATGTGCTTTCCCAACATTGTTCTAACTTTTTTCATATCACTTGGTCTCTAGCCAACTAGATTTTACTCTTATTTGTATAAATGCCAGTGCTTACTGAACTCCTATGCACAAAGTAAGCTGTAACTGTATTTAGGGTCTGTATTTTAAGAAATAAAAATCTAACATCAAGTGGGGTTGAGGCCAGGCCTGGTGGCTCGCACCTGTAATCCCAGAGCTATGGAAGGCTGAGGCAGGAGGATCAATTGAAGCCACACCACTGCACTCCAGCCTGGGCAACAGAGGAAGACCATGTTTTTTTTAAAAAGAGGTGGAGAAGGCTGGGTGCAGTGGCTCACGCCTGTAATCCCAGCACTTTGGGAGGCCGAGGTGGCTGGATCACAAGGTTAAGACCAGCCTGGCCAACATGGTAAAACCCTGTCGCTACTAAAAATGCAAAAAATTAGCCCGACATGGTGGTGGGTGCCTGTAATCCCAGCTACTCAGGAAGCTGAGGCAGAAGAATTGCTTGAACCCAGGAGGCGGAGGTTGCAGTGAGCTGAGATCGTGCCACTGCACTCTGGCCTGGGTGACAGTAAGAGTGTAAAAAAAATATATTAATAATTTAAATAAAGAGGAGGAGGGTGGGAGAAGGATAGGGTTTCTATTTATCGCAAATTTTTGGGGTACTATTATAAGAATCTGATGTCCTAAGAGATTAAAGGTTGAGCTTTTTTCCATTTTACATAGAGAAGAAAGTAAAAGACCCCCAAAATTAACCATTTTGGACCCATTATTCGTGGGACCGTTTATCATAACAGCATAGCCACTAATAGATTCCAAATCCCTTGAATCTTATTCTAGGGCTCTGTTATACCACACATTAGTGCTGCTGATAATGAGGATTTCCAAGATACTTGCTGCTATGGTCAGGAATGCCAATAAACTAGAAGACTTTATTTATTCAATTTATTTTTTTTAAGATGGAGTGTTGCCCAGGCTGGAGTACAGTGGTGCAATCTTGGCTCACTGCAACCTTCACCTCCTGGGTTCAACCAATTCTCCTGCCTCAGCCGCCTGAGTAGCTGTGATTACAGGCATGCAACACCACACCTGGCTAATTTTTGTACTTTTAGTAGAGATGGGGTTTCACCATGTTGGCCAGGCTGGTCTCAAACTCCTGACCTCAAGTGATCTATCCGCCTCAGCCTCCTAATGCGCTGGGATTACAGGCATGAGCCACTGTGCCTGGCCTATTTATTCAAATTTTGAAAACAAAATTACTTTGTCTTACATACACCTGATACTCTGTCCTATGTACCTGGAACATCTGGAATACCTTGGGTAATTGTGTTTGTTACACTTTAATCAATATGTTCTAGAACAGGGTCCCTAAAATGATTAAAAGATACTTTGCAAACTTGACTAGTTAAAAACCTAGAAGTTCTGCTTCTTAGAAAATCAGGTCTGCTACTACATTATCTAGCAAAGTTCATTGTGCTCGGGCAGAAATCTTCTCTTCCCACACTATAAATCTAATAGAGGAAAATTATCCTGGAATGGACAGGATATTTAAGTTTGATGTAAAAACCTTGGTTCCAGAATATATTTTGGTTTTGTATGACTTGAGGTAATTAAAACAAACAAACAAAAAAACCAAAGCACCTTACCTAATGATTTCAGCATATTCTTTGTCTTTTCCTTTACTGTCTCTCCATTTCCTGAACATAACTGAAGCATCGACATTGGCTGGGGAGAAGGTGT